TCGGGCGTTCGCCCACCATTTCGACCGTGACAGAAATCGCATTTTAAAAGGCGGTCGGGAAGAGGAGCCAGTTGTTGACAAAATTGGCCAAGCGGCTCACGCGCAAGGACTATCTCATCTCCAGACAGACCGTGAGACGCTATTAGAAGAGCTCTCTGAGGCCCATTACTTACAGCTACAAGAGCCTCCAGCGGCTCCGAGTTCTGTTCTGAATCGACGCACGTTTGATGACAGGTCGACATGCATTTTCGTGCAGGACGGACTCAAACGGCTCATCGTTCTGCCAAGGCCCAGCGGTGGTGCGAACTGCGAATCGAACCTGCCGGACTTCTGAAGGAAGGAGGTGTTAGCCGGCTACCATCCGGACCAAATCCTGATCGAGCTATCGTCCAGCAGGGCCTGAACAAACAGAAGCCGGCGGCCAGCCCCGGCGCCCTGCAGTTACAGCTCAAAAGGGAATGGTCGAAAAGCAAGCCGTCTGTGCTGCATAACCTGATTGCCAGCAGACCAAATCGTGCTTGTGCTCAAATCCCTGTTCGTGGGGAATATAGGTGCTGAACGTTAAAATGAATTACATATATGGCATCTTACAGAGTTTTTAACATATTTTTGATACGACAAAACTCATGCCAGACCCGATATAGACACGCAACTAAAATGAGATGAGTGTGTACGTACAATACGTTACCTACACTGATACCAAAATGAGTTGTGGGTACACTGCTGCTAACCTGGTTGTCAGCATGACAAATTGCGTTTGTGTGTAAATCCCTGTTTATGGGAAACATACTGAACGTTAAAAGGAATCGCCACCTTTTATGTAGAAACTCGCAGATGATATTTTTGAATAGAACAAAACTTTGCCGGACCCGGCCGGAATAGACCTGCAACTACATAAAATGAGATGTACATTGCTGCAACTAAAATGAAATGTTCACTACCTTTTCGCCACTTTCTAAACGTGTCCTCTTCCTTGCAAAAGCTCCTCTGGCATTGAATGCGCTGGAGACAGCAATATTTTGGGACCGAGCAGATTCACTTATGTCACAGATCAGTGACCTCACCCTACCTGAAAATGAAATTGTTGCCAAAAGGTCCTGTCTGAGTCAAATGTCAGTTAGGCCACCTTTCAGCTATCTAACGTGTTCCGTTCAAAGGTGAAAGAACTGTGAAATGCATGACACCAGAATGAGCTTAACCCTCGCCCGTATTGGTGTTTTTCCAGCCGCGAACGTATAGGGGGGGGGGGGGATCAACGGACCTCCCCTTGCCGTTTCGCCCCTGATCGAGGTAGAGCTTCGCGGGAAAAAACGAGCGTGTTGCCCGTGACGAGAGAAAGCTGAAGATACCCAATTTTAAGGTCCTAGGTCATTGGTTGACCTTCCAGGTCAGGTCAATGACCCAAAAGTCGGGAAAATCGGGACTTGTTAGAATGTCGTTAAAGGAAATAGTTCACTTTCACGAAATTATTTTTTTTTGCAACGATTTATTATTTTTTATGTTCAAAATAATCAGCAAAGAAAATAAAACCTTTTTATAACAAAAGATTTTTTTCTCTATATTTTGATATAGGAAGAACTTTTCAGTTTCTGTAAGGCACACGCGATCCAGTATGAAAAGAGCATGGGTCCCGAAAATTCTTCAGAAACAGAGAAATTATCGCAGCCACCGGCATTTGGGCGATCTGCTCGATCTAATAATGTTCCCCTGAATGTCCTAATTGATCAGTACGAGAATTTCTCTAGAGTTCTCGTAGATAATTTCTCTAGTTTCTGAAGAATTTTCGGGACCCATGCTCTTTTCATACTGGATGGAAATATATGCAAGGCACACATCCTCAACGCAAGACACCTTTTTCGGGACGAGAAATAGAAAATCTTTGCCTAGGGTGATCGTTGGGCTGTAAAAGCTCCTGATTTATGCTCGTCTCAGCCCAAGCTACGGAACTGCTATTCCAGTTCAAAACCCATGTTAAAAAGTGAACTATTTCCTTTAAGTGTGGCTGCTATGGTATTTTTTCGGGGTGCTGATCACAAATATCATGTTAGTTTTGATCACAGATGATGTATTCACGCATTTAGGCCAGGTCGGGTAGGGTCAGGTCAACCAGTAGGGGTGCTGCCGGGTATTCGTAGTAGGTGTCAACCGCCTCTGACAGCTTCGTAGCATGTTACGAAGGCACCAAAACTACTTCGTAAACGTTCATATGGTTGTTAATTTCTAATTCAGCTAAAAAAAAACTGGCCTAGAAACATGTAAAACTCGAAAAAGTGAACCGAGGTCATCAAAGGTCAATGACTTGACCTAACCTTCAGGTGACCGACACCCACCCTAATGCATGGGGCCAACATCATTTCAGATGTTTGAACGCTTGAAACTACGAAAAGACTGCAAACGCGCCGCTAATGCGAGCCGACATACGCCGAATCGCGATTCCGGCCAAACATGGTCTCGAAAAGTACCATGTCGAAAAGTAGGTCACAGGTCAAAGGTCATTTGGGTCAGGGTCATGAAATTTTCAGGGTAGGTGTAAAATTGATCAACTCATAGGTACTGAAAGCTTCGTCGCGATCGGCCGTTTTTTACGCGAGTTATTCGCGAAAAACCGAGGGGGGTCCATTCGACCCCCCCCCTATACGGGCGAGGGTTAAAGTTAAAGTTAGCTAGCGCATGACGGGGTTATTCTCCATAACGCAGCTGACTGGGGTGTTGGTGGTGGGGGTGGGGGGGTGGGGTGGGGGGTTGATCTACAGAGCCTCCCTCCTATATCCGAAGCTGCTAGGCTGATTGTCAAAATTCAAATAACGTCTGATAGCCATGGAAAAAGTACAAACTGTCTTGTGAAACCTAATTTCATTGCCCTTGAGATCACCGATGACGTCACAAGTCAGGTCAAAGTAAAAATCATCAATAGTTTGGCTTGTTCACCATTTAGGCTCTGACCGCCGGCTGCCTCGCCAGACCAGGCTCATTTTTGTTTTACATACTCATTGATATATGCCTAAGATACCCTGAGGGTATCAAACTTGTACTAAGGATTTGTCATGTCAAGGTCAGGTCATCATAGGTCACGTAAATTTTATATCACGCATCGGTTACGTGACACATGTTTTATGGTTCATTTCAGCAACATATTTCCAAAACAGTCGTCTGTGTCAATTGATGCCATTTTCAGCTGCATTTAGCTGAGGTCAGGTCACGTTCAGGTCAAAAAGGTCAAATTTTCAAGTTATAAATTTTTCAACAAGTAAGTTGTTTACCAGATGCAGTTTGAGCTCAGGAATACGTTGCGGTGCTATTCATTTTGGTGTGCGATGTTGAAAACGTATACTGAAAAATTGTTTTGAGAAAAAATTGATAATGGTGAAATGCTGACTACAAAGTGTATAACTTAGCTATTTTTGAAGATATTGGTCCAAAACTTCTTAGAGTAGATTTGGGGTCGGCAACTCACGGTTCCGGTTCCGGCTGGTCGGATCCGGTCCGCAACCATCTGACGTCCGGCCCATGGCTGGTAATCAGCAACTAAGATTGTGTTCCGGCCCGCGGTCAATTCAGAAATATACTTTTCCATGCAAAAGTGACTAAAGTGTGCGTTGACACAATAGTCTTTCCTACACTATCTGATATTTATGTAGGTATAGGTATCTAATCAGATAATAGAATAGGCACAAACATTCCTTTTATTGTCAGACTCGCCAATTCCTCTGCCAGAGTCTGTCTTTAAAAAAGTCGTGTCATGGCAATCGCAACAAGCGCTGCTTAGTAGGGCACCCGGGCCCACAGCCACCCATTCAGCCATTCGGACAAAATTTCTATTAAAAGTACGTTTCATCCTTTGACGCAGGACAAAGCATGTTAGCTGTCACAATTAAAAATCCGCTACGCGCTACGCTACCATATTTCCCAAATATTGCGTATGAACTATGATTGTTGCAAATTGTTATCATACTATAGGGGAAAACGGGGGAACACCGACCCCCTTAACCTTTTAGGGTCTAGTCACGTAATTTTTGGCCAAATCAATCTCTCAAATGATCAAAAGTGATCAATCTCTCAGTTTCATTGGATTGTCGCATCAATGCTACATACATTTCAACCAATTGTTTTCTTGTAGTGTCGTTCATAATTGCATTATTCCACATTTAGTGAGGGCCTACATTTTTTCGGGTTAACACCGACCGTTGTTTAACACCGCCCGAGCTCATCAGGCAAAGAAAGTTGCAGATTGCTGGACTATTAAGGAAAACATCCGAGATATAAGTTGTGAGACCTCTAGAGGATACCAATTCCTGTAAGTTTTATCTCCCTGTAAAAGCTTCTCTGGCACTGAGTCTACATTTTCAGACCGTGGAGAAGTTCACGTATGACGTCATAGGTCAGTGACCTGACGCGACCTGAAAATGCGGTTGGTGTTTCAAGGTTTGCCTTGAATCAAAGCCATGTTTCCTGGTCCCCAGCCGTGTACCAAATTTGAGCGCAATCGGCCCAGCCGTTTTCGAGATCTGGAAACGCCCCCTGCACGTGCGCACTGCGCACGTGCAGTAGCACCCAAGCTGCAACACGTGGGAATGCATTGCCTGGTGGGTGCCTACCTGTATGCCAAGTTTCAGCGAAATCGCCCCAGTAATTACCGAGTTATTAAAATGGGAACAAATTTGACACCTCTTATTGTTGTATTTTGCACGTGCACTGGGGGTGACCCACATGCATCGAGAGTATCCTATTTTCGGTAGAAGGGATGCAGCTACCCTACAAAAATTACCGCAAGACAATCGCCCAAGCGGCTGCTGATATATGAGCCTCTCAAAATCACTACTTTTGCAAAACAGCTTGAACACCCTTGACTTTTCACGTGGCACGTGCCACGACGGTCACTGAGAATTATCAAAAGTAGTCAATTACGGGGTAGAAGGGATGGGGCTACCCAGCAAAAAAGACCGCAGGCCAATCGGTCCAGCGGTTGCTGAGATATAAGCCTCTCAAAAGCGTTACAGGCCGGGTCGGGCCGGGCCGGGCCGGGCCGCTCATACTGAGATTTTTCCGTTACCTAACTACATATATTGAAAAGACTCGCTTCGCTCGCTGCGCTCGCTCGCTCGTAACAACGCAGCAGTTCGATAGACGACAGACGGCCGCTTTGTGGCATATCCCTAAGCTAATATGCACGAGGTTGCAAATCAGCTAAAAAAAAGCCAGTGAGCGCAAGCGAAAGCGAGCTTCCAAGCACTTTTCAAGCAGTTTCTAGCATTGACCTGGTATTCGTCTTAATCGGCGTAATTAACCAGATCCAAGACCAGATCGAAACCAATGACGGGTTTGAAACACCGATGCACAGAAGCTTTTTCGATTTGTGAGTGTGTGGTCAAACGGTAATTGTTGGAGATGAGCAAGAAAACTTCCTAGTCTTTTTTTCTTCTAGAAAAGAAAAATAATGTAGAAATTCTATAACAATAAGTAGAATAGTGAATACGTCTACAAACATTGAAGTTCGTCTGAGTAATACGTGGCACCGATAAAGAAATACTGTGGAACATACGCATTCAGATCATTGCAGAAAAGAATGTCAACTTCAAGCATCGCTAGTTGTGGAGGAGCGTCCATCCGCAGTCAGGCGGACGCGTTCAGAGCCGTCACAGACCAACAGGTGAGAGCACACTCAGCAGTCAGCGCGCGCCACCCGCGGCAGAGCAATGAACTGGCACTTTAGCCAGCCAATTGTTTCAAGTCAGGTCAGTTCAGGTCACTGACCACTGACCAGTGGCCAGTAACTTATGACGTTATAAGTGAGACTGAGCCTCTGCAAGGTCTGAGAACGACGCAACTTCGTAATACCCTCAAAGTCAGAGGAGCTTTCAGAGGGAGAACCTCTTTTCCGAGACCATGTTTGGCCGGAATCGCGATTCGGCGTATGTCGGCTCGCATTAAGGCCTGGCTACACTATGCGTTTTCTGCGTGCGTTTTTTGCGTGTTTGCGGGTTTTGCGTAACATCGTTCTAGAGAAATAAACGATATTACGTTTTTGTGATGTTCTTTATATTCAATTGTAGTTAATATAAGAGTTATAATAACTTCTGCATATAACTAATGTAAAAATTATATTATTTTTTACTTTTTTCTTGAACGATATTAGGCAAAAAACGCAAACCCGCAAAAAAACGCACGCAGAAAACGCATAGTGTAGCCAGGCCTTTAGCCGCGCGTTCGCAAGCTTTTCGTGGTTTCAAACGTTCAGACATGTGATTTGATGTTGCTCCCATGCATTAGGGTGGGTGTCAAGGTCACCTGAAGGTCAGGTCAGGGTCGTTGACCTTTGGTGACCTCGGTTCACTTTTTCGAGTTTTACATGTCTCTAGGCTAGTTTTTGGAGCTGATTTCGAATTTAGCAACCATTTGGTCATTTGCGAAGTAGTTTTGGCGCCTTCGTAACATGTTACGAAGCTGTCAGAGGTGGATGACAGGTACTACGAATACCCGTCACGACCCCTACCGGTTGACCTGACCTGACCTGACCTGACCTGACCCGACCTGGTTATACGCTTAACGACATCATCTGTGATCAAAACTAACACGATATTCGTGATCAGCACCCCGGAAAACCCCTTTGCAGCCACACTTTACGACTTTCTAACAGGTCCCGATATTCCCGATTTTTGGTCATTGAACTGACCTGGAAGGTCAACCGATGACCTAGGACCTTAAAGTTGGGTATCATTGGCTTCCTCTCGTGACGGGCAACACGCTCTTTTTTCCGCGAAGCTCTAGCTCCATCAGGGGCCAAACGCGAGAGGGGTCGTACACCCCCCCCCCCTTGTGCCGTCGAAGGACTCAAATGGCCTGTGCCGGCGAGGGTTAAACTATATCAGGCACATGGAATCGTAATTTCATACACTCCTTGCAAGGTGCGTTTCACTTTTGAATCGCTGACCCTGCGTGACGTCATATATGGTTACGGTTATGAGTTTTTCGTCAGTAACTCCCGATCTAATTGAGGTAGCAAGTCGGGAACGCCTCCAACGGACTCAGCAGGTCCGTTGGCAGCAGTAGCCATATTAGTCTTATGCCATATTAGTCTTACATTGTTTAACCCTCGCCCGTAAACGGCGATCTGCCACCTTCGCCCATGCAGGGGGGGGGTTGGTGCGACCCCCCCCCCCTTGGCGTTTGAAAACGGAGCGTCGTAGAGCTTAGCGGAAAAGATCAACGGATTGCTCTCGCCGAGATCTCGCGATTGGTGGTATATTTTTTGGTCCTAGGTCAACATTTGACCTACTTTTGACCGGTCAAAGGCCAAATTTTCGGAAAAATAGACTTTTTTCAACTTTCCGCGGCGATTGCGGCAAAACGGTGGGAGATATCGACTTGAAACCTTCACTATCGTGTTCCTTGATCAATTCTCTATCGGTTGGTATGTATTTCGTTTCCCTAGCTCTAAAATGGCGCGTTGGGAGCGCCGGAAGTCGGCAAGGTCACAGTCGGCGGCAGAAATCGAAAAATCAAAATTTAAATTTTTGAAATCTGATTGTATTTTTGGATTTGGAAGGTCCATTTGCTCCCTATAGAAGCTAATATTGCTGCATATTCCCATTGAGGTGACAAGAATTAGCAAAATAGTGGTTCGGGCGCTTTTCAAAAATAGTACCGGACGCTGTTCCTCTTGTGACGTCATAGCTCCGTGACCTGACCTGACCCGGTCAAGTTTCTTATACCATATGATAGCCAATACTTGCCCCAACATGCATGGGAAGTTTCATCACGATCCATCAACCGATGTCCGTACCACCGGCAGGAAACCTCGGGCGTTGGCACTCAGTTTGTGAAAATCCGGCCGGAGGCTGTTCCCTTTGTGACGTCATAACTCCGTGACCTGACATGACCCGGTCAATTTTTTTTATCAAAAGATGCGCAAGGTTTGCCCCATAAGGTACCCAAAATTTGGCGGCGCTGCGCGCCGCCGTTTTTGCACTATTTCCGAAAAACCTCAGGGGGGTTGCACCAACCCCCCCCCCTACATAGGCGAGGGTTAAAAGAGGCCGTGCTACTTATATGGCACGAGAATGTCATTAATATCCTTTGGTGGGATCAGTTAATTCGGCGCTTTTGTGACGTTCAATAATCTGTACATTTCTGTAGGGGGATGTCGTCCCGGTTCTCCCCATGTATTATTCGCCAATCAGCTTAACACTACCAGTGACGTCACTGGTGGATCGCCAATCGCGGCCGTCCGGCCGGCCGGGCCCGTAGAAGGCCAAACGCAGACGTTTTCAGAAAAGCGTAAGCCGTATAGACACAGTCGCGGATGGAGTTTTGCTGTGATTCGGCTCTCCAAGAGTGCGTCAGCGGACCAGAAACCGGTTAAAGGTCATAGCGGCGCCGCTGACCCATGGGGGGGGGGGGCTGCTAATTAGTTGAGCCGGAATTGGGATAGGATAAGCCGGTATGGGATTGGGATAGAAACTCAGCGAGACTAAGGGATTGTGTTGTGCCTTCGGTAGGCCCCCCAAAATCACCGGTGTAGTGCCCTCAGGGCCGCCGGTTATGAAGCCTTTGGAGGCACTGGTGTGGGCCCTCACAGGTAGGTACCGGTGTGAGGCCCTCAGAGGCATTGGTGCGGGGCCCCAGAGGTGCCGCTGTGGGCCCTCTGAGGTGCTAGTGTGTGGCCCTCAGAGGCGCCGGTGAGGGTCCTCACAGTTGCAATTGTGGGCCCTCAGAGACACTGCAGTGTGGGGTCATCAACTTCGGGTGTGGGACCCTTAGAGCTGCTGGCTCGAACTCTATAAGACGACAGGGGCTCTCAGAGACCGACAAGGGCCCTCAAGAGGTCTGCGGTGTCTTCAGGAGCCCTGTGGAGTCCTCAGAGACCAGCAAGGTACTCTCAGACGCCGGTGGGGGCCCTCAGAGTCGTCGGTGTGGGGCCCTCAAAAGTCACCGGTGAGTGGCCGTCCGATGCGAAGGTCCCGTCTTAGGCCGTCAGAGGCTCCGGCGTTGAGCCCTCAGAGCCGCCGATATATGGCCTTAAGAAGCACTGGTTTGGGCCTTTGGAACTTCATTCAGGGGTGCCGGTTGAACTCAGAGGTGGCAGTGTGGGGCCCTCAGCTGGGCACCGGTTTGGGGCTTTCACAGCCGCCGGTGAGGGCCCTCGCAGGCGCCGTTATGGGGGCCTTCAATCATTGGGTTAAGGGGTCATCACAGGCGTGTGTGGAACCCTTAGAGCTGCTGGTCCCTGATAGGCCGGTAAGGTCCCTCAAAGGTCGCCAATGGGCCCTGAGAGGCCGGCAAGGGGCCTTCAAATGCCGACAAGAAACAATAAAAAGCCGGTGTGTGGCTCTTATGGAGAGAAGTGTGGCTATTCGGAGCACGTAACAGTGGTCGATAAAACTTCCAACGTGCCAACGCTCGTTGGAGCAAGATATTAGCAATACTTGGAAGAGCTGGAGACAGTCCGCCCGTCTACATGGATGCTTCCTTACGCCTAAAATACAGCATTGACTTATGACTTTCTAATCGTCCGGTGCTGTTATCGGCTGCTCGGTACCGCGTGTATGTTCCCTCATTCACTCCTGGTCATCCTTCGGTCACCCCTCGCTGGGTCGGGCCAGTCGGCTATTTTTATCCTCTTTCCGGCTAGGCCACCCGCTAAGCTCCCGCCGTGCCGCGCCGTCTGCGAGGGACCTGACCCTTCTGCCGGCAGAGGTTTCTCCAGGTGTCTCCAAGGAGCCATCGTAGCGCTAAGGGTGTGCTCCGCATACACATGCATTGATTTTCGCCCTTACTAGCAGGGCCGCTGGCACGCGTTGGCAGCGCCCCGCGGGCATTTTTTCGCTTAGGGTCATTTTGTGGTAAGGAGGATCAGAAAATCACCCTTCCAACTTTCTCCAGGCCTGGGTGTTTTATCGAGCGCGCCTGAAAACGCACAGTGGACCGGAATCACACTTCGATTGCGTTACTTCGTATAAGGTAATACGATCAAAAGTGCGCTCTTTTCTCAATCAATAAGGACAAGTGCGTTGAAACACACTTTTAAAGTTTTAGGTTAAAAGCTTTAAAATGCTAAATTTCAACATTTCTACGCTGATGATAATCGTTAGTTGTTTCAGACTTTGGCATGAAAACGTAGGCATTCAGATCCACCGTGTGACCGGTCACCGTATGCAGTAGTGTGATGGTGTGACTGTGAGTTGGGGAGTCAAGGCCGTGTGGGGATAAGGTGAGGAGATGCCGGTGTGCCGACGCGGCAATTGGCAGTGATTAGACAGTTGTGCATGCATTGTTCATCTAGCATATCATTTGCTTGGGCAAATTTATAGGCATGGCGCCTGTTTATCCGTCTAATTCAAAGGAAAGGTGTGAGTACCAATACCGGTCGTACTTTTCATAGTCATAGTCCAGGTCCTGAAATGACTGGCACCTGAAATTTTCAGGATATGTAGAGGCTCATTCCCAGACGTTGTGCCAAATTTTGCGGCGCTACGCGACACCACCTTTTACGCTATTCGCGAAAAAAAACTTAGGGAGGCTGCATCCCCCTCCCGCCAGTCGAGGGCTAAGTTGGAGACAGTGATGGGACTAAGATGTTCGTTGGAGCAACTCCAAGCATTTTATCGACCTCTGGCACGTAAGGTGTTCTTTCGAGCCCTGTGGGGCCCT